AAAAACACTCGGAAAACGACAAAATGGACCGGACGACACTAAAACGAACCTAAAAATGACTCGATAACACATATAAACACATAAAAATAAGCACAAAAACATAACAAACAGAACCACTCATGAGGATACGCCCTCGCACACAAAGTCCTTAGACAAGGCTACTACTGGCCGAGCCTGTGAAGGATGCCCTGTACTTAGCCCGGAAATGCGCAAAATGTCAAACCTTTGAGCCCAACATCATCCAACCGTCGTAGCCCCTAAAATCGATTCTCAGCCCATGGCCATTCGTTAGGTAGGGTGTCGACCTGATTGTCTCCCTACCCACCTGAAAAGGCGGGGTAAAATATGCAGTGGCCGCCGTGGACTATTTCACGAAATGGGCGGAAGCCGAACCACTCGCCACCATCACCGAACAGAAATGGTCGACTTCTTATGGAAGTCCATCATATGCCGATTCGGAGTGCCGAACTCAATTATCACTGACAACGGCAAACAATTCGATGAAAAGAAGCTGGAAACGTTTTACAAAGAATACAATATCAAACACTTCTTCTCAACACCCTACCATCCCCAGTCAAACGGCCAGGTCGAGGCCGTAAACAAGATAATCAAACAAGGGCTCAAGGTCCGACTTGAAGCCGCGAAAGGGGCCTGGCCGGAAGAACTCCTCGGCGTGCTTTGGGCATATCGCACCACAGCCAGATCGTCGACTGATGAAATGCCGTTCTCCCTGGCGTATGGATCCGAGGCGATGATACCCGTCGAGCTCGGCGCCCCAACATTGCAGGTAACCAATTTTGAGGAAGAATCTAATTCCGATTCGCTGAGAGCCAACCTGGACCTAATCGACGAACATCGAACACAAACCGAGCTAAAAAACACGGCATACAAGAGGCAGAGCGAGAGATACATCAACTCCCAAGTCAAACCGCACTCGTACCAGGTCGGCAATTTGGTACTCAAAAGGGTGACGAAGGCCGACCCCGGACCCCTCAAGCCAAAATGGGAAGGGCCTTACAAAATCAGTGAGGTTCTCCCTCATGGGGCCTACCGTCTCGATCACCTCAACGGCACCCCCCACAAATACTCATGGAACTCGGCATTCCTGAAAAAGTTCTACCAATAGGTCTAGGGTGATCCCATGTAATTACTTTATTGTGTTTTGTAAAAAAGTGACAAACCTTGTAAAGAAAATGTAATTTCTTATTATTTTCGATAGACAGGAGATTTAGGCATAGATCGAGTCGAAGCGGCATAATTAAACGTAAGGAACAAAGTGTTGGCCGGGACCAGTACGATAGCCCGGTCGGCACTAGTCGGGCTCAACTAGGAAGCCCGGTCGGGCCAATGATACCACCGAGTCCGAACGCGAGACCGGTCTGGTAAGCTGCCACGTAATTACGTGTCGGTCGAGTCAGTACGATGGCCTGGCCGGCACAAACCGAGCTCGGCAAAGTAGCTCGGTTAGGCCACAATGCCAAAAAGTAAGAAATGAGAAAACGAGCTCAGACGCGTAGCTCGACTAGGCCGAACTGCAAGTCGACTCAACAAGTAGATCAGACAGGTGACGCGCCCCTGTAATTAACGTGCACCGAGCCCAATCTCGAGGCTCGGCGAAGTAATAAGAAGGTGTCGAACTCAACCATGAGCTCGGCCCCGTAATTAATAGCGCTGAGCCCAATCTTGAGGCTCAGCCAAGTAATAAGAAAGTGCCGAGCTCAACCATGAGCTCGGCCCTGTAATTAATAGCGCTGGAGAACCCGACACTTCAAACGAACTTTAAAATTTGGCAAGACAACTTGGCAATCATGAACCATTCAAAAAGAAAATCCATTAAAAAGGCCAGAGCGGCACTAACAAAATACTTTGTTAATATCATCCATTCATTCATAATAAGTTCAAAATAAACAAAAAAGATCAAAAGAAACCATTTAATAATAGACAAGCGTTCAGACCACATCCGGTCAGCATTACGGCACGCAGGCCGGCCAAAAGATAAGCAAATAATAAAATCATTTGTCAGAGGGAGCGCTAGGATCGACATAAATCTTTTAGAATAACGGATTGATAGGACTATACTTGTAAAAGCGAAAGCTTTAAGTATAGGTGGGAGATTGTTAGTGTTATATACTGAAAGCTTGGCTTTGGATGATATTACACTTTTACCCTTTATGAACGAGAAACATGTTGGATTAAACAAGTTCTACGTTCTGTTGTTTTGCATTAGATAGTGTGGGTCGTCATCGGGCGAACCGAAGATCATGCTATCAGTTACTCGCGAAACAAGAATAAGTGGTTCACAACCCAGATGGACATGAACACCCCATCGCGAACGGTTGTAGTGTCAACTGTACAATTTTTCTTGACTGATTAGTTGCACTAGTACATTTATGTATTGAACAGGATCCCAGAGAGGAGCAGTTCATTTTATACTGATCGTCGTAAACGAACTAGGCCTCGGTTAATTACTGCGTACTCTTGACCCGTAAGATATTAAACAGACATATATGTGTAGTATTTATTACTTTGATTCACATGTGTGAGGCTTAGTGAACTGGGCCAATAGACCCGCTGTCTTGGGTAATATTGCTATATGTAGGATGTGGTGTTAGGATATTTACGGTCACCATGTGCGTTAGTTTGATGATGTCCCCGAAGTGAGTTCATGAAGGATTATATGCTAAACCCTGCAGGTGGGTTAAATTCCAGCATAGTAATAATGTGATGAACGAGCGCTAGCTTCGGTGAAATAATAGTAAATTAATTAATTCTTAATTGTCAGTAATCGAATTAATTAATGGACATTATATCTTAAACATGGGGAGATAGATCGAGTAATTATTATTGGAGTCTCAATTGTAAATTGGGCTAGGAAAAAGGAGTGCAATAATATTATGTTGGTGGCCCATTTAATATTATTTAATTAATGAAAATAAGTGGCTTGGTCCACAAGTATTTTAATTAATTAAGGAGCCCTAATCCTAATCTCCTAAGGATCCCTACTGTAGCTCTATATATACATCATTAAGCTCATGGGAAGAGGAGAATTCCATATCTTGGAAATCACGCCCCACGCCTCTCTTCTCTCTCTCAGTTCCTATTCGAGCTTTATCTTCTTCTTGTTGTTCCACTGGTACAAGAATAAGAGGTGTTTGAGATATACATTAGAATATCTTTGGGTAAAGTGAGACGAAATATATTTGGTCGTACAAAACTAACTGGAGGTCCGGTCAAGACGTGCAGCATACCCATACGGTCGTCCCAATGAGAGCTTTCCAACGCCGTCGAGATCGCAGCCGTCCGACCACCCACGCGCCCGCACGCGCTGCCGCAAGGTCCCAAGACTGCAACTTGTCTTCATCCATTTTGCACTCGTTTGATCCGGTTTTCGATCTGATCTTGTTCGTGCAATCCTAGGACGCGATTTGCAGTCAACAATTTATTGGTCTGCTGTGTACGGCCATCCAGAAGGTCAGCCAGATCGCCATAAATTTTAAGCCGTAAGTTCTCTATGCAAACCTTTAGATCCGCTGCGCATAGGTTTACGTTTTGCTATTGAATTCGTGATTTGTGCATAACGAGA